GGGAAAGAGACAGACAAAAAGAGATAGAGGAGCAGAGAAGAGAAAAATTTCCAATACTGAATAATAGCATATTTTATTTCAGAAAGGTATCAAATGTTTATTTTATTGCCCATAATTTTGCAAGAAAATGAATATAAAGAACCAAGAATTTTGTGATCTGAACGATTTAATATAATTGTTATGTATTATCTACTGTACTTAAGTTATATACATCCATAGATACTTATACTTTCTGATCATTATACACAATCTGTGTCCATGATTGATTTATTTAGTTCAAACAAGTATTTTTAATACTGTTTGTATCATGTAATTAAGATAATAAAGAATTGCAAAGTAGAAGGTGATGAATAAAAGTTCATTTCATAAATATAGTTCCAAACTCTTTGACATGTGGTGTTTCTTTAGCCCATGAGAGAATAATTCTCAATATGCTTCACTTAAATTTGGTTTAGCAATGCCATACTAGAAAATACATTTTCATAACAAATTTTCAATTAATGCAATTCATCAATATTACATAACAATTTGGGAGTTTAAAAAAACCTCTTCGCTTTTTCAATTCTTTTCTTAGTAAATTGCATCAAACTGAGTCATTGTTCACCATAAGATTAGATAAATGAAATCTTTTAAAGCCCTATTGAAGTCATAAGCAGTCTGAAAGCTATGCTGTGAGAAGTTTACCCACATTTCTAGTTTTCTCACAACTTGTGAACACACAAAACTTGACATGCACTTGCTTCTTGTACTTTGGTTAAAAAGTGCTTTTCTTTTTTTCCAGAACATATCTAACTCTGGACTCTAATTCTTATCACAGATTACAGTGGAACTTGCTATATCCCTTTCCTGTGCCTTTTGGGTTTGATGTTTACTGTAATAAAGAAGTATTGCACTATATTTAACACTTAAAGCCACAAAAAAGTAAATGATCTCTAGTCTGTTTTCCCAGATGACCTGTGGTAGTCCTCAAAACATCATTCATATTGCAGAAGACAGTAAAGCCATCTTTCCTCAAATAAATGTGATATTTCTTTCTGTAGACCTCCGTGAAATAGGATTAAAAGGAAATGCTGCATTCATGTAAGCAGATATTTAACATGATAATTCTAATCTACAGTAAGAAATAAGCACTATCAGTCAAATCACAACTGGTTTGCAAGCCCTTGTTGAAAATAAATGTATTACTAACCATGCAGTTATTGATGTGCCTATATCTGAAAACTTGCTTGTGGAGACCAAGAGGAAGGGTCGTCCTAAATGTGTTTATCCTCCTATTTATCTAAGACAATATTCTTATTCATGCAATATCTACAATTGTGCATTTTTAGTATTTGGGGGAAGAGAGTTTTATGGTGATAACTACACAGAACCAGCAAAAGAATAAACGATATTTAGGGATACTAAGAGAATAGGCTAGAGTCAGGAAGAACTGGCTTCCAATTTCAGCCCTGTCACTGACCATGGGAACTTCTCAGAATTCCTGCTTCCTTATCGGTATGCCTAACACCTATATACAGGGTTATTTCAGGGATCACATGAAAAACATCTTTAACCTACTAGGCATTCAGTAAATGGTAAATAGGATTGCTGCTGTTTCTGTGAAACAATCTGCATGCTGCTTTTCATATGAATGATTCTCAAGCAAAGACCACTGGATGCTTTTGAGTTCAAAGAATTAATAGAAAGCAGGTCTCAATTAGCATTTTAATTTTATATTTAACTTTATTATTTATTTCTTACTCTACAAGCTTCCTACCCTTCTCTTTTTTTCCTTCAATATGACTCATTCTTTATTCAGTTTATTTAAGCATAACAATTCCACTCAAAGTCAACTATTGATTTCTCCCAAACTCTCTCTCTCTCTCTCTCTCTCACACACACACACACACACACACACACACACAAAACTTAAAATGAGTAAAGGTTATTTATTACATTGTCTGGATTATCTACTCTAGAATATAGGTAATGAGCAGCTGTATCACCAGAACAGAAAAATCATGGACTTTAATGGGTATAGAATAAAAATGTGATTGAATGGCTAGAAGTAATGTAATAACAACATAATAGACAAATGAGTGGTGAGGCAGTAACTATTTGGAATATATAATACAAAGTGAAGGGTAATGTGAAAAAAATTTATAGTAGGAAAACCTTTTTCCTAACTCTAATTTTTCAAATTTTAGACATTTGTTTAAAAAAAAAAAACAAACACAAAGCTGTAAGATCTTGAGTCATCAGTTTACACAGAACAAAAAATGAACTGAGTAAGAATGACATTCCCACCCATTTTGTTTAGGCTGCTTATTAAAAAAAAAAAAAAGCCTTATCATAATCTTCCTCAGATCCCATCTTAGACAATATCTTTCCATGGATCTCATGAAGCATAAACTCTCGTATTAAATCTTATATTTCCTTCTTTATTATCACTGTAGATACGAAATGGCTAATGAGTTTCTTTGTTTATAATTTTTCATAGATTTAAAGAGTAACATTCAAAATTGCCTATTATTAAGGCTCCCCTGGAGGCTACTGAGATTAAGTTAATATAAACTTTTGAAACCTACCTATTAACCTGCAGAAGATATTCCAAATAATTGTATTCTGTCATCTTTATTTACACTCGACTCCAAAAGTTCTCAATTTTTTTTACGTGGATAATCTAGAAAATAAATATTACTCCTGCATTCACAAACAGCATAAAATGAGCAAGCACTTGGTTAATTTGTTACATTATCTAACTTAAAACTTTATTTCCCTACTGTCTGCTTAGAACTCAAGCTGCCCTAGTTGGAAAATGATTTAAGAAACAAAAATAATAATAGAAAAATTTAAATAAAAGTCACTATTGTCATGAAATAGGATGTCAGTTTTGCAATCTATCTGCACTTTCCCACTAAACTGGGTGAAGTTGATCTAGCGATATTTATGAAATAAGCGCCTATGAAAGGGCACCACAAGCCATCAAAAGCGACTCTCTTCCTCTTCCACAGGGCGGTGAAGGCCAGGGATGAATTTTAAGAGTTGTTTCCGGACACTTCCTCTTCTGCTTTTCCGGGGTAGGGTCCCAAACGCGCTTGAGAAATTGCTTTCCCACAAGGGAGACATGGACCCACTGCTGGCAGTACTGATGCTCCGATTTTTCCTTGAAGATGACCTCTTCAGAAAATCATCCCCATCCTTGAGGACAAAGCACTCATCATCTGTGCTTGTCTGCCTGCTGAAGGCTCCTCTGCTCGAGTCCTCTGACATACACGTCTGGTAGCCATCCTCGCTGTCCATCGTCATGGTGCTCAGCCAGCTCTTACAGCTACTCTCACTGGAAAATCGATTCCGGTCCAGGAGGGCAGGGCCTGCCCCAGGCAGGGTTCCAAATAATATTGATTCATCTATGTCCATGTTTTCTAAACTTGGGCAGTTAGCTGCATCACCTAGAATGCAGAAAACAAAGTTTACAGTGGAATTGATCTAAGCATCACTTCCTACAAATAAATACATCAAAATGTATCTTAAAAGGGTCCAGGAAATAGTGTGGGTGAATATTATTTTTCACTGAGCTTTGACTTGCATGAATAAGTGATTGTTTATGAAGTCATTTGATGAAACTTATAGTGGGATTTCCCAAACTATTGATCATGGACTACTGTCCATATTAAAGGGTCCCATGGTCATCAAAATGATAATGCTAGACTAAATAAATTTAAACAGATTTTCATATGAGAACAGTTCAATTCATCTGACAGAACACCAGTATGACTTGTAAATTTCCAAAGAGATCGTTTTTTTAACTGAAGTGACCCTGAAACCTTTTATTAAATGTCTCATAGAAATGGGATTCTAAAGAATACACTTGGGGCAATGTTGTCTTATGGATTTTCTCTATTTAGTTCCCATGATTTTAAATTACATTATTGTCTTTTGTTTAGACTGCCTATAAATATAATTAAACTATTGTCTTTTTTAATAATTATAAAATTATTATGACATTGTTTGAAGTGTATAGAAAACAGTTACAAAACTTACACCTTCCATATCTTGGCTATTGTAAATAGTGCTGCAGAGAACACAGAGGTGTATAAATCTTTATGAATTAGTATTTTGGTTTTCTCTGGATAAATATCCAGAAGTGCAATTGCTGGGTTAAAAAGTGATATCTATTATTTGGATATTTATTTTTAAGTTTTTGAGGAACCTCCAAACTGTTTTCCACAGTGGCCCTACCAATGTGCAATCCCACCAACAGTGTATGAGAGTTCCCTTTTCTCCGCACCCTCACCAATACTTGTTTTTTGATTTATTGATGATAGCCATTCTGGCAGGTGTGAGATAGGTACTAGTGTAACCCAGGGGATCACTTTACAAATTGTATACATGCCTAACCATTGCGCTGTATACTTGAACTAATTAAAAAATAAATAATATAAAACCTGTAATCTCATTATAGAGTATTCAAAGGTGTTTAAAACAGAAAGAATATCCTCCAGCCTCAATATTCCAAGTTTCTTTTAGAATATTTTTAATACTTAATGCTCTGGAATGGTACTATGCTCAGAAAACAGCCCTGTCCTCAAATAAGTAATAACTCATTGGGAAAAAGTTGAATTTTATCTGCTTAGCTGAATTTTTTCATCAGCCTTTCATATATGTCTGAGATTTCCAAACTCTGATTTTAATCACACACCAACATCTTGTCCATACCTCGCTTGCTTCTATACTGAATTGGTTGGTACGCTACTAAAAGAAAGGATGTTATTTGTAATACTAGCTGAAAAAGCATGTTTCACATCCACAGATTCAAACAACAGTGGATTGAAAATATTGGGGGGAAAAAATCCCAGGAAGTTCCGAAAAACAAAATTTGAATTTGCCACAGCATAAGCACTATGCTGAATCCATATGAATGAAGTAATGTGTAGGCATCCCCTGCTGTAGCCTATGTGAAAATATGGGTTATATGCAAATACTACGGCATTTTACATAAAGGACTTGAGTATCCTCAGATTTTGGAACCAGAGAGGTCCTGAAACCAATACCTCACAGATACTGAGGGACCACTGTAATTAGAAGGTGACTTTGTTTCAGGAAAAGTAATAGAACACTGCACACTCAGAAGTGGTTTTATTTTGTGCTGGTTACCTACTGTTACTTCCTTTGTCCTTGGTTGACAATGTAAAGAGACTGTTTATTTTTCCACTTGATCTGCAAAATTGAGTATGGCCAGCCCTACAGTGACTAATCATAATGCTTTTTCCTTCTTGCTAATACAAGCTACTTTATTTCATCTTGCAACAAGTTGATTGGAGAGGAATTGCTTTGTACAATCTCACGCCATGATTATTAATTCTAGGTCTAGAAAAAGTAAACTAAAGAAGAATTCTTTCAATCTCTCAAAAAATAGGTACAACAATGGCCTTAAAAGGAGTCAGTCTCCTTGATTCTGAGCTAAGGACCTTGTTAATACAAAGCCATCCCCACAGAATACCAGGACTGCCTACATTTTTCAGGCCAAACCCCATCTCCACTCAAAAAATGCTCCAGAAGTGGAGTCAAAAGGTTTTCCAATCACCTTTGAGTCTACAGAAATCCAGAAAGTCGTTGAATTTTGTACCCATGTCTTGCTAGCCATTTTCAGACCTTAAAAAGAATCTATTACGAATTTTTAAAATACTAACTTAAAAGCATTAAAAAAGGTAAATCATACATAACATTTTATTTAAAAAAAAAACAACCTCAACACAAACCTCTAAGCCATAAATTAGTGCCTAATTAAAAGTTAAATGTATTTTTTTTCCTGTAAACAGATTATCACTTTTGACAGATATCTAGATATAAATAGAGACTTTAGCCAAGTATTATCTGAAGAAGACATAACCTACATTTCACACACCCACATAGATAGTGGTTTTGGTGAATTATTTGTACATCTAAGTTCATTCCTCAGGTTATGCTAGTCACACAGCAAATGTTAAATCAACAGATTTTAAACTCAGCCCTTCCCTTATAATGTGCACAAAGGTAAGAACCATGAATTTACTGTTATAATAATCATTCTCATTTGCGTCTTGGGTTTGAAGGTCACGAAGGAGAATTTCTCTGTATTAATGTAACTTACACTGTTTGAACAAATGATAAGAGTTCTACCCAAGAAGCATGCTACCATTCCAGCCTCAATAGCTTCTGAGAACTACACGGCCCCTGAGCCATGACTGTTCTCAGGAATTTCATTCATTTGCTGAAATTGGGCAATCATTCCTACCACTCCTCTAAAATCTCTAGATGCCTCTTGCAAGCGTGTGCATGCATGCATGTGCATGCATGCGTGTGTGCATTTTCATGTGCATATATATTATGTGTATGGAGGAGGTTATATGACTTAACCTGTCCCTCCTCCTAATATATAGATCACTCCAAAGATCACACCAAAGAAACACAAACTAGTATTCTTTATCTATGTAGACAACTTTTTTCTTGTAATGATGATTATCTTAAAGCTACTGAGAGGCAGAAATACTGAAGGGGTGAAATGTTAGTGTGGTTTCTGAACAGGAAATCACATTTACCATGAAGCAAGCGCTGTTCCTGTAACTGCAGAGATCTGAACTCCACCCATTTCTTCTTCAAGTTTTGCTGAGAAAAAAAGAAAAAAAGTGCTAATTATTAGGAAACTCTAGTGAAGACAGCAATTTGCTTCTAGGTGTTGTGATTAAAATTAAAACTTTTTTCTTTCTTTCTAGCACTAACAACCCCTCTCATTCATTTGAAAAAAAAATTCTGTATAAAAGGAGGAAACTGGGAACACTACTTTCTCAAGAAATAGATTATTTCTTGATTATTACTAGATTAGTAGCAACAACAAGTTGAAACAATGACATCATTTCAAATAGAAACAATTGAAATAATAGAAACAATAAAAATAACAGATAATAGAAAGAATGACATTTATATTTTTATTTTAAAAAAATTATAGAAACATATTGCTTGAGTTTGTGTGCATTTACTATCTGTTTAGGGAAGGATTTACTCTGTAGGCTTCCCTTATCTGCAAGAGGAAGACAGTAATAAAACCTAAACCCTAGAATTATCATGAGGATTAAATGAGTTAGCAGATGTAAAATGTTTAGAAAAGTGACCGGAGTTTAGTAAATGTTCAATAAATACCATCATCATCCTATAAAAGCCTGGGGCACTAAAACAGTTTTTTCTGCTGAACATCTATTTATTTTCCATACCAAAAAGAGGAAGTCAACCTGTTCTGAAAGGCTTCTTTGGAAGGCAAAATTTAGAACACTGCTAAGCACCTTGATTTCTTAACTGCTTCCTTCATTTGTTGCCCAGCACATGAGAGCTGTGGTCCCAGGCAGGAATGAAGTGGATGCCGTGATGGTTAAGAGAGCACGTGAGACCTGGCCTAGCTCACAGACTGGGCTGAGACGATGAGACTCAAAAGCCAACAAGGCGAAAGGCATATGACAAGGCACCATCAAAGGCTTATTCTCCCTCCTTTTCTTTGTCCTCTCCTCCATCACTTCCTTTGCCATTTCAGATCCCCACAGCCAGCCCAACAGACAGACACAGCTCAGATTTGCCTATGGACACTTGTGCCAGGAGAAAGGCAGCCTAGGGGTCTTTCATATGAAGCGATTTGGAAAGGGCAGATGAAGGCTAAAAAGGAAGAGAAAAAAAGTACATTTGGAAGAGGAAGGCCTAAGGAAAAGAAAATAAAATTACAAGAATGTCAAATGCTTAAGGGGAAAATGGCTGCTTCCTCAATTCAGAGACTAAACAATCATTAGACAGGATTTTCCAATCCTTGATAACAGTAACATTTAGCGGCAATCCTTATGGTTGCCAATATAATATGCAAGCAATAAATCAAAGCCATAACATGCCTGGCTAAAAAAATAATTTCTTATTTTTTCTGTACTATAATATAGTTTATATGGCTATGAGACTGCTGGGCTACCTGAATCACAACTCTTGTTGTCTGTTTAAACCTGTGGCCATGTGAAGGTCAGAGTTAGGTACCCAAGGAAATAACAAGGTTCTGGCCTATGTATCAACCCCATTCTTCTTTCTTATAGAGGGTTATCTCCTGCAAGAGTATAGAGTCCAGTAGGGGAGCATAAAGATAGGTTAACAGTCAAACTATATATAGAGAGATGGAGAAATTGTATTTCTGCACCTGCTATCCAAAAATACAAAGTCAGGGACTTGACATGGTTAATTTTTATTTAAAAAAATTAAGGTCTTAGAATATCTAATCTGATGCTTTAGCCCAATCATCTAAGTATGTCATCACTTAAAACCGAGAAAATACCAGTGTAAAGAGCAGATGTGTCAAAGTGACTAAGAGTTTTAGTTCATATCTAAGCTTCCCTATTTTCCTCACAGTCTGTTTCTGCCTATTATTAAAGAGTTGTATATTTAGACAAATTTAATTTCTCGTCATGAGAAGAAAATTAAAGTACATGTGTATCTAACCATACTGGGCCATATCCCCTCACTGTGCCTTGGTCAGTGACTGGTGCATAGAGGCTACTCAGTAAATATTGACTGAATGAATATATTTAAAAATGGCTTCCTGAAACAACACGCAATTATCAAAGATCAGATATTTTGGATATATTTTCAATCTACATGAGACCGATATACAACGGAACATTTCCATGGCACCTTGCTACTTTTATAGTGCTTTCACAGATAATATGCTGTTTAATTTTTCTAACTGACCAAAAAAGTTCTAGATTAGAAAATAAAGGTTCAATGTAGCAAAATATTTCCCAGGACCTACAAACTCAATAAATAATAGAGCTAGATTAAAAAGTAACTCCCCCAGCCAGCCCATTGGGTGCACTGTTTTCATGTTAAACATCTGAATCATAGGTCAAGGGAAAGGGAATCCCTAAATACACGGAGTCTTCGAGGGACAGAATGCACACTTACATATGACACGCCAACTAAATGTCACTGTGTGAAGGGGAAGCCAGCCTGACAGTGATTATAGGTCAGACTCAGATATTTCTGGCTCAAGAGATGAACTGAAAAATCTCATAAGTTCAAGATTGAAAAAGAAACACAAATGCAAGAAGGTATATAGGAATAAATCTAAGGGTCTGCTGGACCTGGAAAAGTAGAAAGAGGTAGCTAGGAATTTGGATCTTATGATGATGTACAGTTCAAATGCATTTATGTAGCATAAGACATAGACAAGTTTCCTGCTTGAGAAAAGAACCTTAGCTGAAACCTGACTACCATAAAAAAGGAGGTTGGGGAAAGAGGCTGATGATTCTATGGCTCATGCAGAGTTGTACGTAGTGAGGCAGGAGTACATAAATGCAGCCTCTTGACCTGAGCCAAGCAGCACACTGACCCTTCAGGGAAGGCATCCAAGCTGCCAGGCCTTACTCTGGATTGGGAGCCTTGAAGTGAAGAGTTGAGGCAACTGCCTAACTATCTATCACACTGAGCAAAAAGGAGAGGCCACTATGCAAGGGAAGTGGGCAATTTAAACTTCAAAATATCCACAAAATTTTGTGACAAGAAAGACAACAAAACTGATAATCAGTACATGGATTCTCTCCAAATAAAACAAAAATAGAAAATTGTCCAAAGATTTTAAAATAAGAATAATAACAATCCTTTGAGAAAGAAATTAGATCAATGTTAATAAGAACAAGAACTTTGAAACAAAGAAATAAAACAAGAATAGATAAACAAGAAAAAGAACTATTTTTTCCAGATGCATTAACTCCTTTATTGAAAGAACTTGGCCATAAACATAACAAGGGTAGAGAAGTTCAGCAATAATCTTTTTGTCCCCATTTTCAAAGGAAGATACATGAGTGGGGAGGAATGAGCTGTGCTCCTCTAATTGAAAAGGGACTATTTGAAAATAAAAAATTAATTAATTTTTAAAACTCAACATAAAAACACATTCTATACATAACACAGACAACATTATTGACAATATTACTAAGAAATTTTAAAAAGAACATAAATAAAGTAATGCAAAATATGAAAGAGCAGTTAGGAAGTATAGAAGATAAATCAAGGGACTCTAAAATATGTCTAACAGAAACTCTAGAAGATAATTCAGGGAATGGTGGAAAAGGTACAGTTGACCTTTGAAGAACAAGGGGATTAGGAACACAGACCCACCCAGTCAAAAATCTGCATATAACTTTTTTACTCCCCCAAAGCCTAACTACTAATAGCCTACTGTTGACAAGAAGCCTTATCAATAACATAGTTGATTAACACATACTTTTATGTTATATGTCTCACATAATATATTCTTACAATAAAGTAAGTTAGAGAAAAGAAAATATTATTAAGAAAATCATAAGGAAGAGAAAACACATTTACAGTACTGTATTTATCAATGTCATAATTTACATCATTTGTTTACAAGATGAAAAAAAATTGTGTATAAGTAAACCTGTGCAGTTCAAATTCATGTTGTTCAGGGTCAATAGTATATTCAAAGAGATCAAGCTGATAGTTTTCCAAAACTTAAGAAAGTCACAAGCCTTTGGCTTGAAAGGGCACTGCAAATTCTAAGTTCTAAGCAGTACAAATTTAGAAATGAATCCAGAGCTAATCACATCTTGGTAAAACTATAGATTAGTAAAGACAAAAGAACATCTTAAAAGCAACCAGTAAAAGATGAAAGATTGTCACAAATTGAAATATTAGTTTTTTAAAAGACTGAAAAATAGAAAATCCTCTAGAGACAATTACTAAGAAAAAAGGAAAACATAAAAAGTAGTACAAATAAAAATGGGGATATAATCACAGTTGTGATAGAAAACAAAAAGCTGATGATACAAGTTGAATTATCAACTTTATGAAATAAATTTGAAAATTTAAAAACATTACAAACAAAACAATTCAATAAAACTGGCTCAAAACAAACAAATAGAAAGCTTGAACAATCTTATAACTAATAAAGAAACTGAAACAGAATTTAGAATTATTCCCACCAAAAAAGAACCTCAAGCCCTGATGATTCAGATAGTGTTACAAGTATTCTACTAGAGAACAAGAAGGGGAAGATACTCATGCTAAGAGTTCAATGATGACGTGGACTATAGGCCAGTGGTTACCAGAGGGTAGTGGGGAGGGGGGTGGGAGAGGTAGATGGCATAAAGGGGTCAAATATGTGGTGACAGAAAGAAATCTAACAATGGGAGGTGAACACACAGTGTAAATATATATATGCCTCACTGTTAAAGTGTATAGCTGAAACTTATTGGATTTCATTAATCAATGTCACCATAATAAATTAATTAATTAACTTAAAAAATTAATAAAAAAAAAAAAAAGAAAAGAGTTCAATGATACCAAAACTAAAGAAAGTCTGAGGGGAAAAAAAAAGTACAAACCATTCTACCTGTAAAATTAAGCTACCCTCAAAAATCTTAGAGAAAATGTTAGCAAAGCAAATATACAAGTATATAAAGAATGATTATAAATTATGACCAGATTGGTTTTATTTTAAAAATGCAAGGGTGATTTTACATTACAAAATATTTAAAGGTCATTTACCATATTGACAGATTTTTAAAAATAAAAAAAATGAAACCATCTTAAGATATGCAAAAAGCAAAGTCTTTGATAAAATTTAATACACAAGCACTATAAAAACTACCACCAAATTTAGTATAGAAGGGAACCTCTTTAACCTAAAAAGTATATTCATAGAAACATCTCATTCCCAACAGAAAAGAGTCAAAAGAATTCCTTTTAAAGTCAAGTTTCTATTCATTGTCATATTGTAGGTCCCAGCCAGTGAAGTAAATAAAAGAACTAAATGTCATTCTTTACAGGTAGTTACTATCTTTATAGAAAATCCAAATAATCTATAAGTAATTTATTAGAAATTATGTAGTTTAACAAAGTGTTTGAATATAATAGCATAGAAAAATTTTTATTTTACATATCTTTACATTAATCTCAATCACAGTATTAATTTTCATAAACTGTAAGAACAAAACTCACATTATGAAACAATAAATTTAACAAAAAGATTTATAAAATCTATTTGCATATAATTATAAGACTTCATTTCAAGAAATAAAACAATTAAAAATGGTGAAATTCTTTATCAGTAAGAAAACTCAATACCATACAGATGTCAATTCTCCTCAAATCGATCTATCTATGTAAAATGTACTATCAATCAAAACTCAAACATTTATTTATGGAGCTTGACAATCTGATTCTAAAATTTATACAATCAAAGGATCAAGAATAATCTGGAAGGTTTGCCCACTCAGATATCTCAATATTTATTACAAGGATATAATAACTTTGAGAGAAACAAATTGATCAATGGATCAGAATAGGGAGCCTGTAAGAATATCTATGCATATACAGAACTTGCTTAAAAATAGAGGTTTCACTGCAGGCCAAGTAGGAGAAAAGAAGGACTACAGACAACTAGAGGAACATCCTGCATAAGTTTTCATATGAAAAAAAAAAAAAAGCAACCGTATCTCACACTAATACAAAAATTAATTCTGGACTTAAATATAAAAAGAAAACCTTCAAAACTTTCAGAAGAATATACAGAAATGCAGATTACTTACAAAGAATAAACAATTAGGAGCTCTCATAAACAAAAATGTCAAAAAGTTCTAAGGAAACAAAACATCAACATAGAATAATTTAATTGCCTAGCAAAACACTTTCAATAGTAGCAATAAAGTAGTTTTTTTTTTTTCCAGAAAATGAAGACCTACTTATCCTCACTGAAGGAAATATCAGAGCAAGAAGGAAAGTAAACCCAGAGGTAAGGAACAGAATACTAGAAACAACAGCAAGAGCATCAATTCAACAGGTTAGTCTATTCTCTAATAGCTATTTAGAACGAAAACCTATATTTTTCATTTTAAAAAATAATGAAAGTCTCTAAAATAAGCAATAATAAGGAAGATTGGGTCTTTAAACAGACATTTAAAGCATGTTAAGGTCCTCATGATGTCTGAGAGAGGATTGAAATATTATAAAACTATACATTTGTTAGAGAAAATAATAGTTAATTACATACATTAAAACTTGAAGAGAAAATGTTCAAAGAACAGAAATTGCTTAGAAACATGAAATGTGTGTTGTGCAAAAGGACTTTATTCCATGAAATATAAACCTTTTATTTTTTAAAATTTGTTTTTAAAAAAACATCAGTTTGTTTTATACATTTCTTTCTTTTTCCTACAAAAGACTGACAAAGCCAGTTTTACTTCTTAAAATTTACTGACTATGTTCCTTTTGCAAAAAAAAAATTATATATATATATATAACTTTTGACAGTTTTAAAAACCCAAATATATTGTGAGGTGCTGTTTACTCCTCACAAAAATGTAACAATAAAATGCTAGAGGCATTTCCCTTAAAGTCAAGAATAAAACTGTCACTATTTACAATACTGAAGGTTATAGCCAATCTTATAAAAGAAGAAAATTAAATTAGCTGAATAATTGAGTGTAAAGGGGCAAAACTTTTATTATCTTCAGATGATATTATGTCTATATGGAAAATCTAAGAGAATCTATGAAAATTTTATTAGAATAAAGGGAATTCAGCAAGACAATCGAATTTAAAAATCAATAGCAATAAATTAAATGGTCTCTTAAAAGTAAAAGATATATTTATTAAGCAAGAAAAATAAGTTACATAAGAATAAATATAACAAAATATATGTAAAATTGTATGAAGAAATTACAAAATGTTTTTTTATGTTGAGGAAATATTTTTTATACTACAACTTCTTTCTCTCTCTCTCTCTCTCTCTCTCTCTCTCTATCCTCTCTCTCTCTCACACACACACACACACACACACACACACACGCAGCAAGCACTTGGGAAAATAATGAAAAGACCAGCTCCTCCTTCTTTGTTTTTTTTTTTCCCCCCAAGCAAAATGTAAATCAAGAGAGATCTCAGGTGCATTAATGAAAAGTTCTTCAAGTGATGTGCTTTCCTGAGCCGCATAGATATACAGGAGGAAGAAAGTAATTTGCACTGGTTTGTGGAAATTTATGTGCCTGCAAAGGTAATTGTGGCTCTTGATAATTCAGCAGTTCAGACTCATCACAAAATTTCATCTTCAAGAGCTATCTCAATTCCTCAAATATGTATTTACTTGACCACTCACACATTCAAGGATGGAAAATGTGCCTAACTATATTAAATTAAATTACCTTTAAAACTTGCAGCTTTGCTTCAAGCTCTGTCCTTTTGAGAATTGTTGTCCCATTAAGAGTCTCTATCCTGTTTTAAGAAAAAAAGGAAGAAGGAGGGAGAGCATGAGTAATTCATTCAAACAAGTACCATCCTTATGGAGTATTACAATTTGGGCACAGACTATCTTTAAAAAGCAAAATAAATGTCACAATTTTCATGGTACTTCAAGTATCTGGACCTAGGCCAAATCTCTGACAACATTCTGAGAAAGAAAATGAAAAACAAACAAACAAAAAACTTCTCTTGAGAGGGTTACTGAAAGAAAAGATTCTAGTTAATTTGTAAACCGTAGTTCAGTTTATAGAAGCCACATATGGCAATGATGGTTGTTCTCTACTAGAATTTATTCGTGTGAGGTCTGGCTGAATTACCACTTTTATGTGGTGACTGTTTATTGGGCATCTACTATGTGCCAGACTCTAGACACTGTGCTAAGCACAAGGGGTACAGCAATAAGAATAACACGCCCTAGGGACTTTCAAATAGTAGAATTAACATTATTTCTGAAACAGGGCTAACTCTTTTCCTCCCTAGGATTCCAGGAGCTTTTGCCCCTGTAAATTGCCTTAGTTTTGGAATTAGAACAAATAAAACCAGAACTACTATGAGATAATAATCTTTATGACTCATTTCAAGATCTTTTAAATTTACAAACTTTAGTCCTAGAATTATCAACACTATTAAGCGTTAGAATTATTAACACTAATAAGTGTTCTTTCTCCCTATACCAAATGCCATGCTAAAATTTAAAAAAAAAAAAAAAAATTTGTTCTATCCTGAGTGATTTGCTTTATTTTGTGGGTACAAGTTAGAGGGCTTTATTTTGATTACTAAGCCATCAATCTGAATAAGATAAATTTCATGTGTGAGTCACACACTTAAGCATTATTAAAGTATTTGTTCAAATTCCTTCTGATAAATAAGCGGTAACTCTATTTATAAAGAAGCACTAATTTTTCTATTTCAAAGAAGCACAGCAAAATAATAGCATTAAATTATCTTCTATTTCTAATACCATCATATCCAAGATAATGAGATGATAGCAAGACAAGACATTATCTGCTTTCTCGTTAAGGCAGTCATGACTCTGGGCAATAGTGAGGATCTCTATAAATCTGTTCCATTGGGACTTTTAATGGCGATCTGACCTGCCCGAGCAATAGATGTCTATGGGCCAAACCTCAGGCCTGGATTGGCTGCTCTCTTCGGTATCTGTACAGGCTGTCTTGCATTTTCCTGATCTCTGGATTTCCAACGCCTTAATTATCCACCCGAAGGCTGCTCAATAGGTGAAGGGACTGAAGCTTACATGAAGCTTCGCCACCAGTCATCTTTCAAAACTACTCCCCTCACCCCACACACAAAACATCCTTTGAAGTTTTAGACTAGAATCACTGGAGATTGTCCAGCTGATTTTCTATTGGCAGCTTGCAATGAGCAGTTGTGGTGTAGTTGAAGAGAAGAGACCCTGGCATCCCGAGCAGGTGGTCAAATCCCAGCTCTGTCACCTACTAGATGTTTTATCTTAACTAAACCTCATTTAAGCCTTAGCCACTTCATCTATAAAGAGGGATAAAACTAATCTCACAAGGTGTCTGTGAAGAACAAACGAGTTAATATAGGACTCACTTTAATCAGAATAAATCCTAATCTACCTGGCCTGGCTGACACACCCATACTCTGCCTCCTGGCTAACTCTCTGTCTTCATTCCTCATTTTACTCTGTCTAATTCACCATCCACCAATCACACTGGCTTTTTCTCTATCCCATGGATGTGCCAAGACCATTTTGACAACTCAAAGACCTCTC